AGGTGAGAATATATCGTTAGTCCCTATCATTATAAAGATATGTCGTTCAACAATATCTCCACAAAACCAAGGGGAACATGTTTTTGGAATAGACTTTGCGCGCCGCAATTGTTTTAAATATTGCTTGACCACCTGGTGTTAAGTTGAGGAAATATTTTCCGTTGCTTTTCCGTTTTGTTCAAATAAGATGAGAGTAAAATTTTTATTGGCAGACGACAACGATTTGGGAAAACATTATGAAAAATGCTACGAGCAAAAATGCCTATCTTCAAGTAAAGTCTTTGATACATTTTCGGAATAATGCCAAAGCTAATGAAAGTAAGGGCGATAAATCGCTGAAGATTAGACCGTTGTTAGATATAGTAAATGCAAGTTTTCAAAATTTTACTATTTCTTAAGAGCATCTGTCCATAAACGAAATGATTATAAGATCTTACGATCACCAACAGTTCATAAAGGGTAAGCCAATACGATTTGGTTAAAAACTCTGGGAACTTTGTGGCGAAGACCAATATTGCTATTTCTTTTGCTAACTAATTGCTATAGTCCAAAAAGCTGTTGCTTATATTTTGATAATTTTTTAGCAATCATGCCTTATTTTGTCAATTAAAAGAAATGCAAGTACGTGTAACAGGTACTATTAGCGAAAATAGGAAAACGCAGAATGTCTGTTGCGATCAACCAAAGACCTAGAAAATTAGCTCCAGATTCCTATGATCAAAGATTTGATACCGAAAACTAAATATTGCTGCTAAAATGGAATGATAAGAAATGTGTTTGTATGTCCAGAAATTTTGATACTATAAAACCAGTAGCATCAGTTGCAAGATGTAGCAGAGTACAAAAATTAAAAGTGTAAGTTGCTCAGCCAAGACTGATTCACCATTATAATCCATACATGGGTGGGGTAGACCATCATGATTGGCTCGTAGAAAAACATTCTATAGCAATAAAGGGTAAGAAATGGTACTGGTATATATTCACAAGGATAATTGATATGGCTGTTGTAAACTCCTTCTTGGATATAGAAGAATTCATGGAAAAAAGTCAATTTCTATCAAAGATTTTAGGAGACAGATCGCAGTAATACATTTAAAAATTGGTATCAAGTGTTTTGAAGGGTAGATCACTCAACGTTTCATTTTCCTCAAAATTAAAAATTTTGGATCGTCCTAAAGTTTCATCAATATCAGAAGTGCCCATCGGGGTCAAATTCACCCCCAAAGTCCGCGTCGCGGTATGTACGTATAAAGTCTAACAACAAATTTTTTTCTCGAAAACCGTTAAGGGCTACGGTGTTTTGACGATCGATTTAAATCGCTGAAGGCATCCTTTAAATCGTCCTAAAATTTCATCAATTTCAGATCATTTTCAGGGTCAAATTCACCCCTAAAGTCCCATCCGCGGTTTATAAAAATGATTTTTTTTCTCAAAAACTGTTAGGGGTTACGGTGTTTTGAAAATTGATAAAAATACTTAGAACTGTGTTCTATTATGTGGTAAAATTTCGTTTAATTCGAAGGTGCCCATCAGGGCGAAAACATCCCTTTTTCGGGGGTGGGGGTTGAACATTTTTTTTCTACCAAATGGGGATTGTAAGCTGTTCTGGCGGGTAAGAGTGACCTGTGTATGAAATTTGGTGACCTAAATCGTATTGGTTAAGGAATTATTAATGTTTTAAGTTTATAGCTGGGATTTATGGATAACTTCACATCAGTGGACTAACTCCATGGTAAACGGAAATTTACATTTGATACGCATAATAAAAAATACACTACTCAAAAAAATTAAGGGACCATTTTTTTCGAAATACCGGTGTACGCTCTTCATCAGCATTTCCTCACACCTGTGTGGGGCATGCTTCACACTAGTCTGCAAACAAATTCTTGGGGTATGCTTTCCCATTCCTCAATCAGGGCTTGTGTCAGTTCCTGTATGGTTAGTGGTGGATTAGGGCGCTTGCGAATACGTCGGTTAAGCTGATCCTACACGTGTTCAATACGATTCAGGTCAGGACTTACCGCCGGCCATTCCATTACCAGCATGAGATTTACACTTGAATAATTACATTATCCTATTTATTTTTTGTATTATAGTTGAGTAGTGTGTACCATTGAATTTTTGAACTTCGACGAGGAGCAAAACGCAATCAAAAAACAGTAGCAACATACTTCGCGCATTAGAATCGAAAGTGACAACCTTAAGTATACGAAGTACTCATCTGTAAACAGTACAGGCGTCCAGTGACGAGGTTGTCAATCTCTGTGATCCAGAACAAACCTTATTCGCGCTGTTTTGTGATGCTGTGTAAGGCGTGGTGCGCGGACAGGTCTTCTAGGTTTCAAATTCGCTTCTTTTAATCTGTTTCTAACAGTTTGATCAGAAATTTCTATTCCATGTGCTCGTCTTAGGTCGTTTAGGAAGTCTCGTACTGTGGCAGTACGCGTACGTAGACAGGAAAGGACAAGAAATCGGTCTTGATTTTGAGTAGTTTTTCGATTTCGACCTTGTCCAGCTCTTCTAACATGTTGGTCAGTCTCCCGAAACCGATTCCATAATCGCTGAATAACTGAAGGGGAAACTTGAAGATCCCTGATGTCGAATAGAGTGGCCATGCTAAATAAGGGCTACAGCACGAGCAATTTTCACTTCACTAAAATGCCTCATGACGCTTCTAATCAACGAAAATTAACAACTGAATTCATTTGTCATCTTGAGTAGGCTTTCATTAGCGAATTCAAAGCATACTTGACATTTTATCCACTTTGTTTTGCGTTATTAAGTTACACTTTTCAGTGTAACTTAGAAGTAACTAAGAGTTGTAACATGGTTTTTGTAATTTTCTTTATTTAAATACAGGGTGTCTCAGCGAGACCGGTCATTAGACGTTTCTGGGTTTCTGACCAAACCAAAAATTTGAGAATGCAGACTTAAGTATTATCAATTACGTTCTCTTCATCTAAAATATTTTCAGATTTCTAGTACTTCCGATTATACCGGAAGTCGCCACCTACTTTATTTTTTTAAATGGAACACCCTGTATATTTTTACATATTTGGATTTGTCTGTTTTGAAGGTTTATAACTAACTTCCCTTTTTGCAATTTGATTCGGCCGTTCTCGAGATATTTGTTTTTTTCTAGAAAAATCTGCTCCAGCGGACATTTGTTAAAAAAATCATAGAACACTCAATTTTTGAGATATCAATTTAGGATTCAGAACATGCTTAAACAACATGATGGAGTATGTTTTGGTGCCGAGAACGGCTGTCTAGATCGTTTGGTCACTTTACTGTGGCACGTTAACATTTCGAAATTTGGAAGTACCATAACTTCATTTTTTTAAATGGCACCCCCCATATTTTATTACTTAGTCGTCTTCGGCGTCTCATTTTACATCTTTTATATTCCATATGTCCTATGCCTAACATTAATAGTTTGAGAAATAATTAGGGTTTTTTGAAAAATGGTCACATATCATATCGATATTAACCTAGTGTGCCATGGAAAACAAATGTTTAATGACTTATTGATAAACGTCAAAGTCTAATTTAGGTTGTTTGATGCTTGTGAGTCTAAAACCAGTTAAAATGGATATTAATAACGTAAATAATGTTTATACAAATGAAGAAAT